GATATGATTATGTTTCCGAGTAGCTGTTGCAAGTATAATCCTTTTTTAACATTTACCTTTTTTTATACATTACTTTATAGTTTTGGAGGATAGAACGTGTTTTTTTTTTTTTTTTGAAAGCTCGGGCAACCATTGGCCTGTATATGCTAAGTGTTTGTTTTTTCGTTCAGGTAGGTTTTTAGGCAAAAATTCGAGTTTTGATCTGAATGCCGTGTTCGACCTGGCCTTCAGTGGGCAGATGCTTCCTCAGTTTTCTATAATTCTTTTTTTATGCGTTTTGTGCGGTGTAACAGCAGCACAAAACGCATATTGTCACGGGGTTGCCTGTGTGTGTTTGTATGTGTGTGTGTGTGCGTGTGTGTGTGTGTGTGTGCGTGTGTGTGTGTGCGTGTGTGTGTGTGTGTGCGTGTGTGCGTCCCACATTTTGTCGCGCACTTTCAACTCGAGAAGCACAAAAGCTAGGCGGCTGAAGTTTTAGTATAGTGTTCCCCGCCAAGGGCTGGCGCGGCATATTTAAATTCAGCCTTTCCGTACCCGCGGGTAGCACGTACGGCCCCGTAAAAATTTTCGGGTAAAATCAGTATCTCGGAAACCACAGAAGATAGAAGGCTGAAACATGTATTACCCAGAAAATTTAAATTCAGCTTTCCCCTGCCCGCCGGTAGCAAATACGGCCCCGCGAAAATTTTTGACGGGTAAATTATTATCTTGCGAACCACAGGGTCTAGGAAGCTGAAATTTACTTCAGAGTTAACAGGGTCATGGATATATAAAAAAGTTTGTATCTTATTGTACCAGGCTACGTCAATGTTGTATGTTTTATTCTAAAGAAAAGAGAATATTTTTTTTTAGACTGGATAATGACCCCCTGCCCATGCTCGACCTTGCCCATTCAAATTCAGCGTTCACGCGCTCTCGGGTATCACCTATTTGCTAGTGAAAGTTTTTACGGGTAAATTATTATCTCTGGAACCGTGGGGCCTAGTAAGCTGGAATTTTAGGGTAATGACCCCTGCCTACGCTCAACCTTGCCTATTCAAATTCGGCGTCCCCGCGCTCTCGGCTATCTCCTACGGGCTAGTGAAAGTTTTGCGGACAAATTATTATCTTGGGAACCATAAAGTCTGCAGAGCTGAAATTTTAGGGCAATGACCCCTGCCCACCCTCAACCTTATCTGTTCAGATTCAGCTTTCCCGCGCTCCGGGGAGTCACGGTCTCGTAAAAATTTTGGCGGGTAAACTATTAACTCGGAAATCACGGAAAGATATTCACCCTTCAGTGTTTCGAACTCAGCTTTCATGCGCTGGTGCGTGAAATTTTTAACCATTTTCTAATGTTTGAACTATTTTTGCATAGACAAAAGGACAAAGCAGTGAAAATCGTTAATAGGCAGTCGTCCGAAAGGCTGAATTGCGCAAAACGCATGATCGCACCGGCTAGTCTGGTGAGCGTTGCTATTTATTTTTTTTTTAAATAACGTATGCGTGTAAACGAGCCCACTGTATGGTTGGTGTGTTACAGCCCCTATCATGAAGCATTGGAAGCAATACGGGATCGACGTTATGAGGATGTTATTCCTCTTGTTGAACAAGATTTGGCCGAGCATGCTGCACGTGGTAAATCCGAACTTACTGCCGTGCTTCGCGACTGCATCCTGATGGCTCGTTTTGAACTGATGAAAGAAAACGTTGAGGTCACTACTTTTCATTTCAAACAACTGTTCCAGTACTTCGTTTGTTTGCATCCCCTTAGTCGTAGCACGCATTCGCGCTGTCTGCAAAGCTGGAAGTAACTCTTTCATGGTTGCTGTGAAGGGAGATGCACGATTTGGTGTTCAGCTTGCTGCTGCTGCTGGTTGGTGCTTTTGTTCCTTTGTTCTTTTGGTTGAATATAATAAGCTGGGCTCATTCTTCCAGTCGCTTATTTCTAACATCTAGCAAATATTTTTCATTTCTTGGTA